CCCTTGACCAAGAGGAATAGTAACATAGAGGAAACAGAGAAGCCATCTGAAAATGGTCACACCAAGGCCATACAGAGAATGAAAAGATGGTGGACTTTGGCCTAACACCAATATCCCCAGTATCTTGTCTCTGACCCAAAAACATGATATGTTTTGGAGTCCTCTCACCAGCTGGTCTGAATACAGCTGCCTGGAGATACTCACCCATAACCCTTGAGGAACAGCACTTCTACAAGGCAACAGTGCACTACTATACAACTCTTTCAGCTAAGGCTCAAGGATCATTATGAAAGATAGGGAGGGAAGAGCAGGGAGTTTGATGTAAGTTGTGTCTCCAAGGAGTGTCAGAAGCTACACCCATGCAGTCACCCATATGACTACCCAAACATGAGCTGAGCAAGGACAACAATAGACATGCTCAAGTAGACAGAGGAATGCCCACAAGGCCCCAATCTTACACAAAGAACTACAGGCAACCGAGGAATGCTGACAGATGGAGAAATAATCTTCCCCAGCAAAGAGCACATCAACTGGTTATCCAATGCCAATGAGCATCCTTGAAAACACACATGTAAGTAACACCATACAGAAAGAACAGCTTGTATTTAATGTCTTTAGGAATACACTTACTCATTTATGTATGTAACAACAATTAATGGAAAAAGAGGTCATGAATTTGAAAGAGAGCAAGCAGGAGTATATGAGAGGGTTTTGAGGGAGGAACGGGAAGAAGGAAATAATGTAATTATATTGTAATCTCAAAACCTGAAATACATACATACATGCATGCATACATGCATGCATACATACAAAGGCAATGGTGTTGCTGCTCTGTTCAATCAATGTCCAACCCTGTGTTTGAGGTCCCCAATTGGACATCCTGTGTGCTCAGCTTCTTGACTCTTCAGCCCCCTTCCTTTCTAATTCCAAAGACAGACATAGTCACATGTTTCCTTGGTCTCTATGTAGTTCTAAACTAAATGTTGGTTCCACGTCTCCAAAGAGCTGATAGAATTCCATCCTATGCAAAAACTTACCTCTGTATTTTTGACATTTTCTAATACAGTCCAGTGATTATGTAACCTTAACAGACCCTGGCAGGAAGAGCAAGACAAGCTGAACTTTGGTCCCCTGGGACAAGTGGTTTCAGTTATGGGCACCCAGCTGTATCCCAAACACAGAGCACTTCTACTGTAGTGTAGCTTCCAAGGTAGACAGGGATCCTCGGGAGGCTCTGATGAGACAAGCTGAGGACTGGGAGAACTCCCAGGCACAGACAAAGCTAACACTAGAAGCACACACTGCACCCTCCAGCCTGCACACTTGTATCAAGTGCATGCACGTGTATGAGTGTGTCTATATGAATACATTCACTTATGTTTTTATCCAAGCATCATTATCCTGGGCCATCTTGACAACAAGCATATGAGGAGGCAAGGGCAGGGAGGACCCCAGGGCCACCCACATTCACCTTTGTTCTGAATCAAGACAACCCTTGCAAACGATCTTTTAGAAGACTCCCTCAGCATCCAGGCACAAGCAAGTGAGCATTTTAAATATGCTGTACCAACATTTAAAGTTGTGTTAAGAGATGAAATGTTGTAGTTAAATATATCCTTTTTGGCTTTCCCATAAACTGCCCCCCGCCCTCCACCTCATTTTAAAAATTATCCCTTTGATAATTTTGTAGACTGTATTTTGGCCACATTCACCCCTTTCCTAACTCCTCCCACATAACTCCCCTACCCAGTTGGTGGCCTACATTTTAAAATCATGTCAAGACAGTAGATGTTGCCCAACTCTTGGATGTGTGGCCTTCCGCTAAGAAATACAAGCTGGGATTGTGAGGCACATCCCCTAAATCTGATACAATGCTACATTTGTTACTAACTCTTGCAAGTGGATGCTGTGTTTTTTAGTAAGTATAAGAAAGGCAGAGCTTGCTAAAGCCAACAACCCATAGCTAGATACACTCACATTTCCTCCCCCAAACTGAAAGTTTTCATACCCGCCCCCCCCCACACACAGCCATAGAAGATGGACAAAGTCTGATTACAAGTACCAATAAAACTGGCAAGCAGAGGAATTTGCCAGAGACTGGAGGATCTGCCCTGTGACAATGAATACATAATCAAACGTCAAGCTTTTACTTCTGCTCAGAATAGATTCAAATCTATTGTGGCAGGTTTGAGGAAGAGTCTAAAACTGTGGCGCATCTGCCAGACCAAGATGAAATGGAGGGCACCTAAACTGGGTCATACAAAGGAATTATCCCCCTAGGAGGCAATTCCTCAACACTATACATAGATATTCCTCCACCTGTGACAGAGTTACATCCAGATAAACTACTTAATGGTCATTCTACTTATCTGGTCACTTCTTATGATTCTCTCTCTCTCTCTCTCTCTCTCTCTCTCTCTCTCTCTCTCTCTCTCTCTCTCTCTCTCTCTCACACACACACACAGAGAGAGAGAGAGAGAGAGAGAGAGAGAGAGAAATTAATAAGAGTCTGAGGCCAGTCTGTGACTACCATATCCCCAGTTTTAAAATGCTTATCAAATTGCTTGATTTTAAGAATAATTTGATAACATGTTCAAATGAATTATGGCACATTAAAATAAGTGCTTACTACTAATAAAATGCTAAGTCTCTATGTCCAATTCCATTGTAAAAGTTAAAAGTCAGCAGGGCATTAGAAAGAGTGCATGCTGGGAGGCAGGAGGCAGAACACCTCGTCCCTCAGGTAACCAGATAACATTAAGAATGATTGATCCCTGTCCCTGCCATGAATAGACATGCCCTGTTAGGAAGTGCTGGAGAGGCCATATAAGGGTATCAGGTACCACCTGCTGATATGTGGCTAATGTCAAATGAACAGCCCTATGGACTAAATTATGATCCTCAGAACCACGGGGTGAAGCACCGACCCTCAGTATGACTAAATTCTGAAACAGGGCTTTGATAAATAGAAGTAAATAAGGTTAAATGAAGTCATAAAGGTGGGTCCTAACCCAGTGGGACTGATGTCCTGACAACAAGAAGAGGACAGGGGCATAAAAGAATGGTGTGAAGGCAGCCATCTGTATGCCATGGAGAGCCCGCATCAGAAACCAGACACCTGTAGACAATAGGACCTGGACCAGTGGCCTCCAGGACTGTGAAACAAAAGTTGTTTTTAAGGTCTGAGATACACAGACCTTGCAGCATTTGGGAATGAAAAAGTGCCATGAGCAAAGTATTTAAAATGGTATGGAAGTATTGGGTAGACAAGAGAAGGTACTTGGTTAGGGTTAACTACTTGGTCTTCCGAGAGGGGAGTGGTACACAATCAATTTATATCATAAGGGTATTTCATACATTCACAGTTAAACAAAAGGTAGTTATCAAACATGTGAAAGAGAAGCACACACTTCAGCCCATACTGTTCAGACACAGAGCTTCTATTATCTGCGCTCATTCCTTTCCAGTAATTAACCACTCAACATGGTACACAGGAACCTCTCAAGTTCTCAGCCAGTTGCTGAAGGATACAGTTTGGAGACCCAGGCTCAGCACAGCATAGCACAGAGGCTTCTGGGGGATCCCAGAAGGGCAAGATGAGGCCTCCTGAGCCAAGGCAAGAAGACAGCATAAGATGAAGAAGAAGCACACTCCAGGAAGAACTATGGTGGGAACTATGGCCACCTGGGAAAGCAGGAAGGAGCAACCGTGCCAGCCACACACTTCTCTGTAGGTTCACATTTTCTACAGCCCCAGCCAGGCTTGAGCCTGACTCAGTTACACCACAAGCAAAACAAGAATAACATTGTCTTTACCCAGAGATTCCATCATGGAACCAGTCTTAAGGGGCAAAGTGCAGACATCCATTGGCTGAGTTTTAAAATCCTGTTCTCTGATCTGTTTAGAAGACTGATAAAGTAAAAAAAAAAAAAAAAAAAAAAAAAAAAAAAAAAAAAAAAAAGAAAAATAATAATTATAGACTGCAACATGTAAAATAAAGGTTGATTAGCATCATACCAGATTTTAAAGGACCTTATTAAATCACTTAATCAAGGCAGTCATCATATGTGTTAAGAAACTTGAGTCACCCAGTTCAGTCATGTAGAGCCATGGCAGAGGCCAAGGTCACCCATAACTGAGACTTCATGGTAACCGGTTGGGAACATCTGGATTTTACGATATTAGATATGATGTCAATCCTACTTGACTCCCCATCAGTGTTTCTGTAACTTGAAGCATTTGAGCATATGATATTTTCTTTGGTTAATACAATATTGGGGACCTCCCAGTGTGTGATAGCAGATAACACTGGAGACACTCTGAACACTTCCTCCATTAGACAAGTACTCTGCCTGCACCTGAAGAAAGGTTTCGTTTTGTTTGTTTTTGAGACAGGGTTTCTATGTGTAACCCTTGCTGACCTGGAACTCAGTCTATAGACCAGGCCAGCCTCTAACTCAGAGGAACTCCTGTCTCTGCCTCCCAAGTACTGGGATTAAAGGAGTGTGCCGCCACCACTTAGCAGAAGGAAGGTTTCTCTGTGAAACCTTAAGAAACAAAGGGCAATTCAGGTTTGACTGAGAATAGAAGAGAAAGGAAACCTGCATGTGAGGTGAGGAAGAGAAGGGAAGAAAACCTGTGTTTCTCCAGCATTGTGTGTATATCTCTGTACTGTCTAGACTAGAAAGCAAACCGCCTGAGTGGGCAAGACGCTTAAAGACAATTATTCTCTCAGCTGCAGATAACTTGGAGCAGCCTGGAAGCTCTTGCCCTTGGTATGCCTTGTTATAACATTCTTAACCCTTTTCTAAATGCCTTCTGTCATAGGCAACCTCAAAACTTACCTTAAAAAAACATATTGAATACATTCAAGAAGTCAGTTTACACGAAGAAAGGCAAAAGAAAATATGAAGCTTGTGTGGGGACACAGGTAAATCCTTCAGACTAGAAGTCCCACAATACATCATCTCCTTGAACCATTGTGAGAACTGTAAACTTACCAACGGTGTCACAGGGTTCATCTTTGTGAACGCAGAAATCTGTCCTGGGGGGAAAAAAGATACAGTCAGTATCTATTTTTTCAGGAATAGGAGAGGAAAATATACCAATATTGGCTAGTACTCCTGAGATGTTGTCACTTTAATTTGGACAATTAACAATGACAGTAAGCCCAGTTACCACATAGAAGAGTCCCATTTTAGGTTTTTTTTTTTTTTTTTTTTTGGCATTTATTTGTAAGGAGTGCATGCATTGCCATTGTATATATGTAAAGGTTTGTGGTGGGCTGAGGGAAAATGGCCCCCACTGGCTCATAGAGAATGACACTATTAGGAGGTATGGCCTTGTTGGGGTAGGTGTAGCCTTATTGGAAGAGGTGTGTCACTGGGTGTTGGCTTTGAGGTTTTAGAAGCTCAAGCCAGGCCCAGTGTCACTTTCTCTTCCTGCTACCTTCTGGCCCAGATGGAGAACTCTCAGTTCCCTCTCCAGTACAGTGTCTGCCTGCATGCTGCCATGACAAAAGTGAACCAAACCCCTAAAACTGTAAACCAGCCACCAATTAACTGTTTTCCTTTATAAGAACTGCTATGGTCATGGCATCTCTTCATAGCAATAAAACCCTAAGACAGTGTATGAGGGAGTCTGTTCTCTTCTTCTACCAGGTAGCTTGTAAAGACAGAACACAGGTCATCAGGCTTGGTGATAAGTACCTTTACCCACTGAAACACCTCACTGGCCCAGGACATCCCCTTTACAGCTGAACTTCTCCACACTTAACAATTGGAAAGAAGTTATTCTTTCAAGAGTTGAAAACATTAAAAGGTATTTTTTGATCAGAGATAATTAATTACTCATCAGCTGTAGTGGTATCTCAGGCCACTCAACTTGGAAAGCTGCAAGGGTTATTACTTACATCCATGGAAAGGCAACAGAAAGCCATTTTGAAAACTGGTGTGCAGTTGAGGATGAGTGGGAAAGCAAAGGTACAAGGCCTGCTTTAGCCCTGGTTCTGCATGTCCCGTGGGTTCATGATCACCTCTCCTGATGAAATGAAGGGCTGTGCCCTGCTTTTCCATCAACAAACACCCCCAAACTTCCCTCTACAAATTCCCACAGTTATTAAGCAATCACAGCGCACTGGTGGGACCAGTATCCTGGCTAGGAGAAGGGCTAAAAGAGGAGAGTGGCAACCCCAAAGCAACCATGATTCATTTACCTTAAAGTATATAAATAAATAAATCCTAAAACTGTCTTGATACTAAGCACAGGTGTGATGGCAGCTGGTAGCCCTGGTCCCAGCTGACCTCTGCTGGCTGACACTACAGCATCTCCACTCTAGCATTCACTACCCTCTGTTAGTCCTTTCACTCTAGTCATGTTGACTCACAGCGATCACACTGGGAACAATGTCAGAGTTTGTCCCTCTCCTTCCATTCCATCCATTGCCATCTGTGTTCACTATTCCACTCTAATCCCCAGTGCGCTGTGTGTTAAGGGGCAAATCATGCATGTGTACATCCCTCAGCCTACTGCTGCTAGGCATGGATCCTGAAGATCCAACTTGCCCACTCACACCCACAGGCCGTGGTTCTGCAGGCTAAAGGTTCTGTTTGACGTCTTGATGCACAGATTCCCAGGTATGAGCTGACAACTGAGCATCTTGGGACAGAGTCACCTCACCAAGCACACTGGGCATCCTGCAGGGGAAATGACAGGGCAGGTGGCATGGGTTGGAGTAAAAGCTTAGAAGGTGTGGCCGGAGCCAAAGTGGGTAGACAACTCACAGAGAGTTATATCTGCCACTTGATGGGTTTTGCCTCTGGACATTTCTAAGTTTTTCATAAGAAATATGTATATTTTGAGTTGTCAAATTATTTCAATGTTATCATTTATCAATTGACAGGAAAAAGTGTACATATTTACCCAATGCAAATATGATGCTGCAAGTATACATTGTGAAATGATCAAACCTAGCTAATGGAAATGTCCATCACATTTGGTACTAGTGTTGGGGTTTTGTGGGGTTTTTTGGTTTGTTTGTTGGTTGGTAAGAATACTTAAAACCCACTTTCACAGTGATCTTCAAGCATATGCCACTGTGAATTGTACAGTAAATATCTAGAACTCAGAGAGAAAAATAAAAGTCTTTAAGAAGACCAACTCTTGTGGAAAAACTTTTAAGCCCTTTATTATCATGATTCTACCCCCAAGCCAAACCATTTTTTGCAGAAATTAAGTGGGGCTAACATCCTAAGTTGTCAAAGCAAGCCTCCTGTCCTCTCATTGCTTAGGTTCCCTGATTACTAAACAGTAAGCAGAATGGGCAGGGAGAAAACTGAAGGTGGGGTGATGAGGATTGGGACTTGCAGAGGTATCCCAGCAAGACCCTCAGCCGGGCCTGCTCGCTTGCTTGCTTGGGTGTCTCCCTGACTACAGAAGCACCGAGGTGGACTGGGGGAGAAACGCTGTGTGCCCATCTTCCTTGGTCAAGCACAGGACCAAAGTTAAAGCCACTCAGGCTGGAGCCCTGGTCTTCTGTGTGGCCTTGGTTGGCCTCCAGCCACAGTGCACATGGTGGCTGTCTACAGCCTGGACACACACAGCTGTAGAAAAGCTGACTGCCTCTGCTAGCCATGACATCATGTTCACATCCTCTCTAGCAGCCGGTGTCAAGGCGAACAGCTCCCAGGCTTAGCCACAGACCAAAACAGAGAAAGAAAAGGAAATCCTCACCCTGGTCAGATTCGAGGCCAGAATACAGGGATGCTGTCCCTTGAACCACGCCTGGCCTCTTACATTTCCTATTAGACAGAAAGGATAGCTCTGGAGGGTGGTCACTGTCTTGCACCCCATTTCCTTGCAGAACACCAGCCCACTATTATCTCAAGCGCAGTAATTGCAGCCCCAGCTTCAAGTTATCCACCAGGCTACTCAGCCAGCTCCTTTCCCATCCACCCCAGTGCTGCTGCTGAGTCAACATTTGCAAGGACATCCTCTGGGGATATGGCTGAGCAGTGATTCATTCACTGAGCTGCTCCAAGAACAAGGACTGAAACAACCCTGAGGTATCATTGTGAAATAGAAAAAGAAAAGTGCCCCTAGGTGTGTGTGTGTGCGTGTGTGTGTGTGCGCGCGCGCGTGCGCGCGCGCGCGCACACACACACACACGCATGGGCATGCTCGGGCGTGTACATGGTGTGGGGTAGGTCAGAAGATGATTTTTGGGGATCTTCCTTTATTTCTCTCTACCTCACTCTTTTGAGACAGGGTCTCTCACCAACACTGAATCTTACCAATTGGACTACAGAAGCAAGCCACCTAGCCCCGACCTGATCCTACTGACTCTATTGCCCAAGTGCTGGAATAACAGACATGTACTACCTTTCTTGGTGTAATGGCTGGTTTTGTGTCAAGTTGACACAAGCTAGAGTCATCAGAGAGGAAGGAGCTTCCACTGAGAAAATGCCTCCATGAGATCCAGCTGTAAGGCATTTTCTCATTTTGTGATTGATGGGGGAGCACCCAGCCCATGGTGGATGGTACCATCCCTCAGCTGCTGGTCCTGGGTTCTAAAAGGCGGCAAGCTGAGCAAGCCATATGAAGCAAGCCCGTAAGCAGCTCTCCCCCCATGTCCCTTGCATCAGCTCCTGCCTCCAGGATCCTGCCCTGTTTGAGTTCCTGTTCTGGCTTCCTTCAGTGATGAACAGCAATGCTGAAGTATAAGCCAAACAACCCCCACCGGCCCCCAACTTTTCATGATGTTTTGTTGCAGCAATAGACATCCTAACTAAGACACTTGGCTATTTGTGGTTTTTATAAATGACCTAACCCAGAAGTTTTGCCAACTCTGATTTTGATGACATTTATTTTCTCTGGGGAAAAAAGGTGCTTTTCATTTCCAAAATAAGACCCCTTCCAAATGCTTTCTCTCTCCCTTCTGGAGGTCCCACTATACCTTGGCCACAACTGATGCATTGTCTACTTGAAACGAATGAGTTCATTTGCAATATTCTCACCTCAGAACATCATTAGGAAGATGGGTAAGTTACAGACATGTTCACTAACTTCTCATGAAAGCAACTAGGAGGAAGGCAAAAAAGTATTTTTAAATATGGTGTCAGGAGGGAATCCCCTAAGTTAATAATATTTTTAATAAATACCAGAATTCTTAAGTTTTATACTGTTTATAAAAACCACTTTCAAAGTAGGGACACTTGAAGTTTAGCTGAAAATTCCAATTCTGGGGTTGTTTAAAATAAGCTCCTCTCCAGGAAGGATTTTTAGAGCTAATTTAATTATACCTGATTAATTTCATATAGGAAGCTAATCATAATAATTTATGGTTATGCATAAACATAGCACCACTAAACTCCTGCTCACTTACCAAGTAGAATCCACTCTCAAAATATCTGTCCTTCCCCTACCACCTCAATCCTTTAGGTATTCTATAGAAAGTCCCATAGTTGCCTGATGCCGTTCCCAAGTAAGTGATGGCAGTTTCTGGCTAGGAAAGATGGGTGCCCAGCACTTCTAAGAAGGAGCACCAGGAGGTGCCAGCACTCACTGGCTGGCAAGTCCAGGTCTGCAGCAGGCATGCCAACTCATGGTCCTACCATAGCCATCATTCAAATGAGACTGTGCCCAAAGCATCCCAATAGATGTTTAACCAAATCCCACATAGTAGCAAATATTCTCATGGGGAAGGAACCACATGTTTACAGAGCACTTCTCAACCCATGGGGCTGGCAGCTGTTGAACTTTCTAAAGGAGGGAGCAGGCATCTGTCTACAGCCTGGTAATGACAAGGTATATGTGTTCTCTCTCTCTCTCTCTCTCTCTCTCTCTCTCTCTCTCTCTCTCTCTCTCTCTCTCTCTCTCTGTGTGTGTGTGTGTGTGTATGTGTCTGTCTGTCTGTCTGACTCTGTGCATGCATGCATCCACACATGCATGTGCATATGTGTGTGGGTGTGCATTTACATGTGGAGGCCAGAGGTCAACATCAGATGGTATTCTTTCTACGGCCTGTATCTTTTTCTTTGAGACAGACTTCCATTGGCCTGGAAACTGTTACTTAGCATAGGTTAGGCTAGTCATTGAACCCCAGGCAGCCACCTAGCCGGTCTCTGTCTCACCTGTACTGGAATTACAAGCTGTGACCCCTCATTTCTGTGAGTGTGTGAGTGTGTGTGTGTGTGTGTGTGTGTGTGTGTGTGTACGTGCGCAAATGAATGTGTGTTTATATATGTCTGCATGTGTGTTACAATTGTGTCCCCAGAACAGAAATGGTGAAGCGTCAGTTAATGTGATTTTACTTTGAAAGGGTCATTGCAGGCATAATCCAGTTAAGAAGTGGTCACAAGCTGGGTGGTGGTAGCCTATACCTTTAATCCCAGCACTTTGGAGGCAGAGGCAGGCAGGTTTATGACCTGGTAGACCAAACTAGTCTACAGAGCTAGTTCCAATGTCTCAAAAAAATAAAAACAGTGAACTAAAAAGGTAGTCACAATGGATTAAGGTAGGTCCTACTCCAAAGACTGAGGTCCTCTTAAGAGGATAATCTGGACACAGGACAATCTGGACATAGAAAGAAACATGGACAGAGGGCCATGTGATGATGGAAGGGAAACTCAAGTGAGATGTCCACAAGCCAAGGCCTGTCACGGGTGGCAATAGCCACCAGAAGTAAGAAAATAAGGAGTGACTCTCCTTTTGAGGATCTGGGGAGAATGAAGCCTTATCAATATCCCAATTTTGAATACATAGGCTTCAGAATATAAGGGGGTAAATTTCATTATTTAGGGTCACCTGCTTTTGGATAGTGGCTATAGGAATGCAGTTGCTTGTGGCTTCAGAGGCTACCCTGGATTTCTGCTTTGTATTTCTGGGCCCCTTGTTCTAGAAGGATAACCCCAGTCCTGCTGGGGACCTTTACCCATGTTTCAAACAGAGTCTTCATGTGACATCCATGGGCATCCAGAAGATGGGAGTTTTCTGGGGGGTTCCCACTGCCCTGCAAGGCTGTGCAGGTTGTCAATGGGCCCACCTAGAGCTCCTCCACAGACAACTCACAGCACTCACTCTCCTCCATACCAGGTGGCCCAAGTTCATTGGCAGCACCTGAAATCTCTGTTAGCACCTCTCTTGCTAGCCTGCTATTGGGGGAAAAGGAGGGGAAAAGGGAGAAGTACATGGATTTATAGACAGTTCTAAGTCTCCAGTTGCCTAGAATTTCAGTATTCTTCTAATATTGCCAACAGGGCTAATGACGGCTAGCACTGTGGATTAGGCACTAGCTCATTATTTCTTCAGCCCTCAGGGGCTGGACCAACAACAACCCCCATTTGACTATTGAGAACCCAAAGCCCAAGCAAGTGGACATAGGCTTGACTTCCACATCTGGATTGCTATCATGTTCTCAAAAGGTTACTGCCTTTTCCCTCCTGCTTACCAGATCCAAAGTCGGCTCCAGGCTTACCTGGTCACAAACACAGCAGCATCTACAGAAGGCGAATCATCTTTCCCACCTGGTACCTGGTTATTGCCAAGGTACCGTGCACCCCCATACTCCTCATTCTGCCAGTGACAGAAGCTCTCCAGGGAACGCTCACCATGGTGCCCAATGGATAACTTGGCCTAAAAGAAATAGAAGGGGGTAGTCAGAGTAAGTGTCATCTAGGAAGCCACAGTTGCCACCCAGACTCCTATCGTGGAAGGGAGATGCTCTTAAAGACACAATTTGATGACTCTCTGCCATGAGATAAAAGCCTGGAACCAAAGGATGCTCAGGATGCCTCAAGACCACCAGGGAATTTATCCATAAATTCAATGATGACTGTCATTAAAGCAAAGCAATCTACTTCTCAGAAACATAAAAATCTATAACACCCAGTGCACTCCCTCGATGTGACTGCTTCACCTTCTTATAGGTAGCCCTGGCTTGAAGGGAGGCACTCAGCTGAAACAGCAAAACAGGGCTATGCTGAGTCCCAATGGGGCAGGAGCTCCAAGAGGAAAGTCACACTTCTGAGACTTCCCCCAGCTTTCCACTTGTGTAAAGTCATATGCCAGACCTTCCAGCAACAGGGGAAGTGTGTGAGCCCCTGGCTCAGCATTCTCTTGAGATTCTAAGCAGCCTGCATACTACCATGGTTCTAACCTCAAGACTTTCTTCTCTTACAATCTTCAAAGCCAGGTGCCATCTTCAAAGCCAGGAAGGTGAACAAGTCAGTTCTCCTGAAGCCCTCCCTAGTAGTCACAGTCAGGGGGAACTTCCAAACCCATTAAGTTCTCAGGGTGCTCTGAAAGGCACCTAAGGAAACTCACCGGGCGTTGTCTCAATAGGACCAGCTTGGTGACTTGAATGTTAATTTTAATCCCCAGGCTCTGGTGCTGAAACATGTTGTATACCTATTAACAGAGAAAAATAAAGATACAAATATCATTCTTTACATACAACAGTGTTCTGGATGGTGGCTTGTAACAGAGAAATGATACTAAAGAAATCTGTATAAACTATGAATATTAGATTAGGCATTAGTCAATATTGATCTATAGCTCGTTAACAAATATAGTGTATAAATGCACAATGCTAAAAATATGGAAAATTGTGCATGTGAACTCTATACTACCTGATCAATTTTTCTATACCTTTAAAACTGTTCCAAAATATACAGTATTGTTAAAAAATTAAATGCAGTTTGTATTCTTCTAGTATGAGAAAATCTAAAAATAATAATTACATATAACTCAAATTTCAATATCAATAAAGTACGATTTAAATAAGAATATATTTCAGAATCTATTAAGGTTTTCTAGCCTAGAGGTGATGGCACATGCCTTTAATCCCAGCTTTTGGGAGGCAGAAGCTGGTGATCTCTGAGTTTGAGGCCAACCTGGTCTGTAGAGCAAGTTCTAGGGCAGACAGGTTTCTCTATTACCACAGAGAAACCTTGTCACAAAAGAAACCAAAAACAAACAAGGTTTTCAGAGACCAAAAATGCTCAATAAAGGTGAACCCAGGGCCAGAGAGAGCTCAGCAGGTGAAGGCGTTCGCTGCACAAGCCTGACGACCCACGTCAACCACCAGAACTCACATTAACCCCCACTACCTCCCAAAACCCAGATACAGCGGCACAAGTCTGTAATCCCTGCTCTCCTGCAAGGTGACGGCAGGCAGAGACAAGAGAAGCACTCAGGCCAGCTAGTTTGGAGGATTCAATGAAGCAGAAACAAGACAGATCCCGCTTCAACAAGGTAGAAGGGAAGAAGCAAATGGAAGATGTCCTCTGACCTCCATACATGATTGTGGTACAAGCATGACTGTATTCACACATACATGATGCATACATGCACACACGCACACACACACACACACACACACATTCTCAAAAGAGAATTCATACCACCCACAATGTATATAATAGAAAGTTCTAGAATCACACACATGGGCATATATCTAAAGGTAATAATCAGCACAGGTGGGCAGTGATCCACTTGTTGCTCTTCCAGATGACCTAAATTCAGTTCCCAGCACCCATGTCAGACAGCACACAACTGGATGTAACTCGAGTTCCAATCTGATGCATTCTTCTGGCCTCTGCAAGCACTCACACATATGTGACACACACATACATACTCATAAGTAAAAATAAAATTTTGAAAATATACATGGGTGATTTTTAAACAAAGAAATGGATCTTAGGTAATTCTGGCAGAAAAGTCAAAACTCCCACCTTGGGCTTTCAGGCAGAAGGACCAAAGGCAAAGGAGAGACAGACACTTGTGATATCCCAGCCTGTGTCATGTTTAACCCTGTTGGTATCTGTATCTTTCCCATGGACGAAATGGGCTCTTGTAGATGAAGGCAGGAATTAAAGACTTGAAGCCTATTAGCAATATCCTGACTCAAAGCCAGGCTCATCTAGCCAAAATGTCCATCTCTTGCTGTGTTCCCCTAAGTCCTCATTCTTAAATAAAGGCTGCCACTGAAGCAGATCATAGTGACAGAAAGGTGCATGCTTTTCTCAAGTCCCCCCTTTGTGGCCATTTGGTATCCCCCAAATACACGTACATAAAGACTTGGCTCCTAGTGAGAAGTCTTTAGGTGCTGGAGTGGGTCTGTGGGTCCCCAAGCTTGTTTTTCTGTCTTTTAGCATCAACATTTGCACCACCATTGTCATCTTGTGCTTTTGCCAAACTCCAAAGTAGTGTGTCTGCCAGAATCAGACCTGAGCCTCCCAATCTATGAGTTCAACAGAACTTTTCTCTATGAAGTTCTTGTTTTGGGTATTTCATCATGATGGCACAAGACCTACTTAGGTACAAACATGTCTCTAGCCAATAGGACCAACTGTTAAGGGTCTCAACATCAAGAAGTCCTAGGAGGTCTTCTGAGAGGAAGAATGAAAGGAAAAGCAGGAAGGCAGAGGAAGCGGTTCACATAAATGAAGAAGCACTGTATGTGAGGCCCCAGGTCAGCACAGCCAGCCTGAGTTCCTCTCTCGTACTACAGTGAACGCGGGCTCTGAGAGCTCTGATGGGCAGCAATAAAGGTGCTCATAAATGTAGGATATGGAGGGAACAGGGATGAGGACGTCTTTAATATTCCTCTTGGTTTTAGCTCATAGACAATCTTGAAGGGGATTTCATACCAAGAGCATTAAAACTTTCCCTCCCTTATGCTGCTCGTCTACTCTCAACTCAGCAGCTGGGGAAAGGGATGGCCACAGCAAAGGACAAAGCCAGGGTCTGTTCAGGCCAAATGCAGCTGCCTATCTGGAGGACAGTGAGCCTGCAAACTAGGCAAGCACAGGCTGTGGGCAGCTATGTGACATAGAATTAGCTGTGCCATAGCTTGGACCTTATGCACTGAAAGCTGCTATTATGGTTAAATAATAAAAAAAAATCTTTTTTTTGTCTGTCTCTTTTTTTCCAACTTTTTTAAATTTGAATTAGAAACAGGATTGTTTTACATGATATTCTCTCACACAAGGAAAAATAGGGGGATATATTCACTAACTCTATTCTTAGTCCCTACTCCAAACTGTCTTGTCCTCGAGTACAAAATCACTGTTCTTTTTTATGCTGGACCATCCACCCTAGGCCAATTCTGAAGTCAGTTCTTCATTATCTATTCCTGACACTGAGGGAAGAGGAGAGCACACATTTTTTTCCTTCTTTGGATGTTTTCAGAACTTCCCAATGGCTCTAGTTCAATATTTTTCTGAAGTACCCAGCATGAGGATTGGGCCTTAACTGGTATACAACAGTTCCAAACATGAAAATTCAAAAAAAAAAAGAAAGAAAGAAAGAAAGAAAGAAAGAAAGAAAGGAAGGAAGGAAGGAAGCTTGGTGTTATAAAAGAAAAAAATCAGTTGTACAGGGCTTTGCCACAAGGGGCAACATGTTTAAGTAGTGAGTGTGTTTGGAGTTGAGGTGTAGCTCAATGAGACAGCAAAGATGTAGCACACAGGGGTCCTGGGCTCTGTCTCAGCACCTAAACATAAAATAAATAAGTGCACAATGTTTGTAATACCATGCCAGCCAAACCCTTAAGACATGCAAGAATTTAAAGAAATCACATGCAGGTTGACAAGGTGGCTCAGTGGGTAAAGGCACTTCCGGCTTAGGCTAATGACCTGAGTTTGAACCCTGGAACCCACACAGTGGAAGGCAAGAATGGATTCCTGCAACTTGTCCTCTGACTTCTACATATGTACTGCAGTGTGGACATATGTGTGCCATGCACAGAATAAAATAAATATGAATAAATACATGTTTAAAAAAGTTAAAATATAAAGAACGTGAAGTCAGACATGGTGAAGTATACTGGCTAGTCATATGTCAACTTGACACCGCTAGAGTTATCTGAAAGGAGGGAACTTTAGTTGAGAAGATGCTTCCATGATATCCAGCTGTAAGGCATTTTCTCAATTCGTGATTGATGGTGGAGGGCCCGGCCCATGGTGGGTGGTGCCATGCTGGATTTATGGTCCTGGGTTCTGTAAGAAAGCAGACTGAGCCAGCCATGGGGGAACAAGCCAGTAAGCAGCACCCCTCCATGTCCTCTGCATCAACTCCTACTTCCAGTTCCTGTCCCGTTTGAGTGCAAATATGGAAGTGTAAGTGGAGTAAACCCTTTCCTCCCCAACTTGCTTTTGGTCATGGTATTTCATCAAAGCAATAGTAACTCAACCATAGTGGGGTTTATGCCTGTAACTCCGGTACTTAGGAGACTGGGGCAGAGGAATTACAAATTGTAGATAGGCCTGGTATTCACAACAAGTTACACATGTGACCATGCCTCAAATTTTTAAAATGCCTAAGTAAAATAGTAATGACACAAGGCACTTCTCAGTGGTGTTCTGGTCTGCCACGTGAACAGAGAACGCCGAACTCATAGACATTGACATGGGTACCAGGCAACGCACAGGACAAGTCCCTGAGTTAGAATCACCCACTGGCTCCTTGTTGCTATTATGTGCCTCCCATGTCCCAAGGCTTGCTTGCTTCCCTTGGGATAAATGTATAAAAATATAATGTGAGATGAAAGGGAAAAACCCAACCTCTTTCTCTGAGGGTTGAGGGGAGAGAAAACAGTCTAATCAGGAAATGGGTACAAAGTGTCAGTTCTAGAAGACGAGGCCATCCTGGATTCTGGTTAGACAAGAGGAGATTACACTTAATGTTACTGAACACTTACTCATGGCTATGGTAGTAAATCCTATGCTATGTGTATTTTGTCACAATTAAAAGTGTAATTCATTGTTAAAATCTCCGTGCCCTAAATGGTGATTTGAATGAGAATTCCCCTCCAGTATCTCTGGCATTTGACCACTTGGTCCCCAGTTGGTGGTCCTATTTGGGTAGGTTCAGAAGGTGTGGCTTCCCTGGAGGAAATACATCACCGGGAGTGGGCTTTGGGGTTTCAAAGGCCATACACCATTTCAGGTTCGCTCTCTCTGCTTCCTGTTGGTGGTTTGAGATGTGAGCCCTCAGCTCTCAGGTTCCAGCCCCAGCCTCCATGCCTGTGCACTGCCACAGTTCCCTGCCATGATGGTAATGTGCTCTTAGCCCTCTGGAACCATAAGCTCAAAACAAACCCTTCCTTTTGTAAGTCGCTTTGGTCATGGTGTTTTATCACAACAAAGAAAGGTAAGTATTGTAACACCATCAACTAGTAAGGACAGACAGCATTTCCCCCATTCAATGCAGGCATTCTGATTCCAGGGAACAGCTTGCAGAGACGGACCACCACAGTGGAGCACCCTGTCACCTGCTATTTGCAGACATCCACTCACAGAGCTCCACGGGGTACAGGGTAAGGCAACATGGAAATGGGAGATCCCTTCAGGCCAGGACAGACAGATGAACAAACCAAGGTGCAATCCTGAGACATGCATGCAAGA